CCTGCTTCTGCCAGCACGGATATGGACACCTACTCAGCAGCAGAGATTAAAGTCACGATTACATTATGATCAAGAAGGTGACATTGCTAAGAATTACCTCTTCGCTCTTCTCTGATTAAGTCTATTTTAATTCCAAGGACTTTTGAGTTATCGGGAAGCATATTTGTCATACATTAGGTTAAATTCTACGATTTGATTGTCTGGAATAATAATAGATGAGGGAAAAATTATGTAAAATGAAAAGACCTGAGAGGATAAAGAAGTAGCATACGAACTTTTATTAACCGCTTTCAGTAACGGAATTCTCGATCGACAGAATTAAAACAAGATTTTATATCTATTTCTGCCAGCACAAACAAAACCCTGAAACATTGACATTTACGCACGAAACCAAAAAGCATTTTGAACTCAGCGCTTGTCCTTGTTCAAAACCAAAAATCTACTTCTGAGTTCCTACGAAGGAAAGCAGTAACTACAGCCCCGCACGCCACACCTCTCCAGGGACTGTCTCAACCCTGACCCAGGGCGACAGCAAACACGCAGGAGCATCACACCACCCAAGTGCTGCAACAGCGTCACTCCTACTCACCTTTCCAAGCACGCAAACAGTCCCGCTTTCCCTCCTACAGCGCAAAGGACTTTGGGAGCACAGCGAGGTCGCGTCATCAGCATGGTCTGGTGGGACAGTCTGTGTTCAGGCATGAAGTGGTATTTCAGGGCCTCATTTAGCAGATGTTTACAAGTGTGGTCGTCACGAATGAGATGGTTCGCTTCGTATAACCTCGTCAGAAACTTGACGCTCAGCAGCGGCAACCGCACGCAGTGCAGCAGCTGTGCCAAGTACTTCTGCCGCTCCTGCACGTCGTATTTGATCCAGGACTCCAGCGCATAAAAAACGGTTTCTTCTGTCACAACATTCAAGCAGTCATTGGAAACAATTTCATCCAACTCAGAATGCGTAAGCTCAAAAAATTCTTCCGTCTGACAAACGTCTTCAAAGTTTTGACAAATGTACTTGTTGGCAGCCAGGTAGAGGTCGTGGCAGCCATAGGTCTCCGCAAAACGAGAAATCCCAATGCAGTTGCCAGGATCGAGCTGGCTCTCGAGAAACGCACAACACTCCTTCACTACCAGCTTGATCTGGAGAAGGTTCGCGGCTGGAAGCAGCGACTCCACAGTCTCCTGCGAGATGAACACCGTTCCCGTGTAGGCGTACTCCACGATGGCCTGCAGGGCCGCCTCGTCGATGCACTGGAACTCCACCTCCGAGTTCTCCTTCTCAGAAAGGTTCCCAGTGAACATGGCTTTGAAGTAGGGACTGATGCTGGCAAGCACCACCTTGTGGGCATGGATCTTGACATCGCCAACTCTGAGGACAATGTCACAGAGCTCGTGATGCTGGCGAAGGAGGTTCAAGCCTTGCAGGAGCTGTTCAGAATGCAAGTGGGTTAAGTTGGCAAGCATGTAGGTTGGAGACGACTGGTCCATCTGCGACAAACGGAATTTTTAACGCATTACTCAGGGCTTCATTACTCATGTTACTTAGACATGCCATACATAAGATAAAAGCAAAAATGGAAAAATAGTCTTTAAATGTTAATTAGGTTTATTACTTTCCAATTTACTTTTTCAATCCTTACGCGCTATGCTTTCTCATGCAAGTTAAATCCAGGACAATCATATGTTTATTAATAGTGTATGCTATAATAATCTTTGACTTAAAAAAAAAAAAACAAACCACCACCACCTTTCTTTTCTTTCTTCTGGAGTAAAATACATATTATCTAAAATATAGAATACATGCTAGGTTTCCACATCAGATATTTGAGAGAACTGAACGGTGACGGAAATAAAAGAGAGATAAATAAAGAATTGAACTGGCTTATTTGAAGCAAAGTTTTAAGAGTTCTTAAACTACTTTCTGCTACTCGCCTTGCTGCCTGCTTGGTGCTCCCGTGGGCAGAAGAGTCCCCTCCTCTGCACAAAGAGGCCAAAGAGTCCCACCGAGCCAGCAGGGCCCTGCACTGCAGGAGCAGGGGTGCTGGAGCAGGGGCTGCTGTGCTCTGAGGGCCCCAGCAGACATGCCCTCGCCCTCGGGAGGGATCAAACCTGGGGCAGACGGGGAGCTGGGCCTGCCTGCAGCACGGAGAGGCAAGGGGCAGGAGCTGGTGAGGTGCTTCCCCGGGGGAGCAAGGCAGCGGGGGCCAGGAGGCCAGGCAGAGGACTCCTGTGCCTGTCGCCATTTCCATGTCCTCACGGCACCGGCAGGTGCCCACGCTTTCCCCCAAAAAAACAGAGAGGATTCTTGTTCCTGCCTGCAGGTCCACAAAACCCCCAAACTCTTCTTCCAGGAAGTTTTACTTTGCACCGTGACACTTGAAGGCGCTACCATACCTGCTCTAATTGCAGCATCATTAAAATTCAAACGGTGCTGCCCACCACTACCTGTTGGAGCAGCAGTTCTTTATTCAGACTGCATTATCATGCCAGCGAGAGGGTGGAGGGTAGGAATGTGTCAGGATCCCCGACCACGAGGTCCACCAACGTAACCATTGTTCTACAGAGAACACCGCAACCACCCCATTTCTCAGCTGAAAAGCTGATTTCATTTTGACTTGCTAAACAACTACAGAAACCTCAAGATATCACTTCTTTTATCTTTTTGTTACAAAGTTCATCATTTTTACAGCTCCTTAACATCTAATTTGCAGTGAGCCTACCTACAAAGTGCTTAATCTGAAAGAATAAAATTAGTTGCTAACATTAGTTGTTCAGCCTGGAGAAGAGAAGGCTGAGAGAGGACCTTAGGAATGTTTACAAATATCTGCAGGGTGGGGGTCAGGAGGATGGGGCCAGACTCTTTCCAGTGGTGCCCAGCGACAGGACAAGGGGCAACGGGCACAAACTGAGGCACAGGAAGTTCCGTCTGAACCCGAGGAAGAACTTCTTCCCTCGGAGGGTGACGGAGCCCTGGCCCAGGCTGCCCAGGGAGGCTGTGGAGTCTCCTTCTCTGGAGATATTCCAGCCCCGCCTGGACGCGGTGCTGTGCCCCCTGCTCTGGGTGACCCTGCTTGGGCAGGGGGTTGGGCTGGGTGACCCACAGAGGGCCCTGCCAACCCCTGCCATGCTGGGATTCTGTGATTTAAATACAGAACATAACAGGACTGACAGAGAAGCGAAGGCTTACAAAACCTCTTACCCGTGAAAAGGTAAGGAAGCTCATCCTTCTCCTAACACAACCCCATATTGGAGAAAAAAACCCAAACTTATCTAAAAGACAGTATTCTAAGCATGCCTGTGAAAGACAAGATTCTATACAACAATGTTTTCTATACAGCAACATTTTTGCAGCACAAATTACATAAGGGGGAAAAACGAGCCGCTCAGCAGCTAAAACACTTCCTTTTCCTTGCGCTCCGTTCCGAAGCTGACTGCACACGTACGCAGAACTCATAAAACACCAGGTCACGCCACATGGAAGGAAGAGGGAACAGTTACAGTTCAGCAGCAAAACCTGTAAAGCCAGTTGTAAATCACTGCATTTCAGTTACTCCGCAGAAATCACGCTTTTCGTACCAACGGGGTCGAGACGCCCGCCGCTGCACCTCGCACACCCCCTGCACGGCAACGCTCGCCCGCGCCGCATATTCCATGTATTTATTTCGCTGTTGGGCAGGAACTGGGCAGCTGGAGCACCACGCAGCCCCGAGGACCGCGGGGGACTCGCAGAGCTCGCCCAACAACCTGCGCTCCCACCAGAGATCAGACGGCTGCCCTGGGGCCCCGGGCCAGCTCACCCCGAGGAGCCGGGACGGGTGCATTAGGAACAGGCAGGTTACCCGGAGATGCGAACGAACGCACGGGAGGGTCTGACTCTGTGCCGGTGCCCAGGGAGCACCGCAGCCAGCGAGCAGAGCTCCGCGCATCGCCCCGCTCCGCAG